GTTTTGTTCTTGCCTCTCCGAGCCTCGATTTCCCCACCTATGCACAGCGGAGCCCAACCTCCCAACCCCAGGAGTCTGTTGAGGCGTTTAAAAAGCCGAAATTCCCAGTAGACGGAGGAACAGCTCTGCCAGATGTGTGTCCCCTCCCCAAACAGAACCAGGTCGCCCTAGAGGAGCCCTCACTCCGCTTTAGACTCAGTGCCCACCGAGAAGCCCCAAGGATCCCTGGTCACACATTCAGGATGCTCTAAGTGGATGGTTTGCCCACCACCTGGGTGAGTGGTGAAAGCTTCTGCCTGTTGACCTGAACAAGAATAGAGCCCTGCAATGTCCAGGGAAGCTGTGAGGTGCAGGGATGGGTGAGAGCTGAAAGGAGAGATAAAACAGCGCGGCAGTCTCCCTAAATAGGAGCTGGCCATGCAAATAATGGCAAGACGTTTTCTTCCAGCGGAACAAGTGGCAGGGACAGATCCGCTGCTGATGCCTGATGTTTGCACCTAGTGATGTCCATTCACTAATGAAGGGACCATACAGATTTCATTTGGTGTTCAGGATGGCCCCCTGAGGTCTCTGCCTCTGTTCCCCTTTAGAGAGGGTTCCAGACGACCCAGAGAGTAGAAACAATGCAGAGCCCTTGCCACCTCTGGATCCCATGGGTGCACCAGGAGCTAAGTCTCTCACAAAATTTTGCAGCTCTTGCACCCACAGGAGGCCCTACTTCCAAATGTCCAATTTCAATCTATCCTGCCCAAACTCTACTCTGGTTCAAAAGACCCTGGGGATTCTGGGGATAAGAGCCACTGCTCTCCTATTATATAGGTGCAAGGATTAAAATTTGAGCTGTTCCGGTTTTCTTTGGAATTAGTATTAGTTTGAGCCACATGAACTTGTCATTTTTACATGTCCCCACCCAACATCTCCAATAGTTCACAATCAAGGTCTTCTTGATAACCAGCTAACCCCTCTTCTTGGAGCAGAATTGCCAGCAAGACACCCTCGGTGCAGAGCCTGCCTGGCACCAGCCTTCACCCAGGCTAATTGTTTTCACCCCAGACCTTGCTCCTCCCATGAAGGTTCACACCTACTGTTCTGCAGCCTCATTTTCTGGTCATTTTTCTCTCTGTGTTCTTTTGGCTGAAACCCATGGAGAGCATCAGCTGATGCTGAGAAGATGGTTTGGCTCCATCCTTAGGTCACTGCCTTGTAAAGCACCATTGTTACCACCTGATTCCCAATTGTCTCTAAATACTAGCAAAGCCTGCATGATTTCTCAGCATCAGGGAGAATCTCTTGTGACTTAGTGTTGCATGGTTTTATATCCTAATTATTTTATTAAGGCAAACCTGAGCAATATCCAAAAGTGTTCCTACTACATGAAAATGAGACACATATGGAGTCATTGCAAAGTAAAAACTGCACCTACTTGCTTCTGTGTTGAGCTGCAATTCTTCCTGCAGTGAAAAAATTTTGGTAGAGCCAGTATTAACTGCTTTTAAGAAAACCTGGAGGAACCTATATTTGAGTTTGGAAGAAAGGTGAGTCATGGCATGACCTTTTTGCTCACTGCCACATCTGTCCATCTTCTTATGTTTGTCATACCTTATTTAGCATCTTGGAAAACAGCCTTTGTCACCTTTGTTTTGTTGGATAACCAGACTCAGAAATGCCCAGCTGTTGGCTGAGTCTCACAGTCTAGAGGGAGCATGGGTTTCCTCACTTCAAGCACTTCTAAGGTTGCAAAACCTTAGAGCGTACAAGAGTCCATAATTGCTACTGTCAGTATGGGCTTGTCCACTGATGTGCTAATGCTCTCACACTATGTGCCAGGCTGGAACAGTGTACAGCCACAGACAAACAGGGAAGTTACATGTAATACAGTGGGAGGAGGGGTAGTGTATACCTCCCATATGACTGCTGTCCTTATCAAAGGGCAAAATCTGGACAAATTCATACACAGAGAAAGCACCATGAATGACACTGTCACAAAGCCAAGGATCTATTAGAGTGTACAGAGAAAGACCTAGAACAAATCTTCCCTGACAGAGTCACAAAGTGAAATTCTAACTCTCCTATGGAGTATCTGCCACTCCTAAAGATGTCAATACCTAGAGGGACAGTATGGCTAGCCACAGGTTTGTATATATGTCGGAGAGGCCAGAATCTTGGTCACTTCCCAGGCACTACAGCATCTCTCTTCTCCGTCACCCACCCTATTCTCTCTAATAAAGAACTAAATTTAATTTAAAAACTCACAGTGCACTTTGGGCACTTTTGTCCAATGGGTAAGTTTCAGCCCCAGAGTCTTCTCTTCCATCCATATGGAAGAATTTCACTGGCCACCCTCCACTGGTCACTCTTACAGAAACTTCCTATGTGTTTTTGTATCGATGCTTTGAGACCGCGTAGGATGGAACCATTCAGGTGAGGCAGCGTGGTCCCGGCCCGAAGCCTCAGCCAATCTGACCCAGTTCCTGCTCATGTCTACCCTAGAAGGCCATGAGACATAATGGCTAAAAGAGTGTGAATGCCTGAGTCACAGGACTGAGCTAACATCTCAGGGCCACCCGTGCCAGTTGTGGGACTTAAAGCAAGCTACTCCTCCTGTCTGGATTCTGACTGTGAATTGTGGATTTAATCCTAACAAAATGTGGGCAGAGGGAGCCACGGACACAACAGCTACCCTCCCTATGCATAAAACAAAGGAGACTTTGCTCTACCAATTCAGTGCTCTATATACACACAAGTAGGGAGGGTCACTCAAGCTCTTGATTTCAGTCATCAAGACAGTGGCCCTAGTAGCTAAAGAACTCATATGGTCCTGCTTTAGCTCACTGATTTCCACTAATTGCAGCTAGAGATCTGAATTTAGAAGAATGTGTACCATAGTTTATTCCCACTCCATATTTGGAGACCAAGTTTCCCTGTGAACCTGTAGGGAGATTAGTGTCTACTTTAATTGTCTTTGATCCACTGCCAACATGAGAGAAGTTGCCAGCTCTGTGACTATAGGATGCTCAGTAAAGTTAATGTTGCCATGCTAATTTTTAAGTGAGCAAATGCACACATGAAGGTCTCGGAATAGTGGAGCAATCAAAGCATTTGACATGCTAGGCTCAGCCTTGAGCAAGCTGATCCCTGCTGTGGGTCCAATATGGTTTGTCTTCACCTAAAATCATGTTGGGACTTAATTAAGTTCATGTAGCAGCATTCAGAGGTGGGCTGTAGTAGGAGGTGTATGGGTCATGGGTGAAGCCTTCATAAGTAGAATGCAGAGATTTTTTTCTGTCGCCTTTCCTAACCCCCTGAGCCCCCACCCACTCCTCTTCCACTTTATGCCATGTGTAAATTAGCATGAAACCTCCAGAAGCTTAACAGGGTCTGGCATTGTGTTCTTAGACTCCCAGCTTTCAGAACTGTGGGCCAAACAACCCCCCTTTCTTTATAATGTCACCATCCTTGGACATTCTGTTATAGCAACAGAAAATGGACTAGAACAGGTCCTGACTTTCTGCCTCCATTTCTCCCGGCTTCATCTGATGCACTCACCCTATCTCTGCCCTTCTCAGTGTTTCCTGTGTGCTTCCTTGGAGCATCAGGGCACAGGAAGGGGATTTCTACTTCTCTCGACAACCATCAGAAACCATCTCATGCATCTGCTTAGGACTCTTCCTTTCAAAAGGACAAAAAGCCTTGGGCTGCCTTAATCCAAAGCAGAAAAGAGCTGACTCTTATGGCTAAAGGTCTGGGGTGGTCACAGCTGTGTCCATTCCAGGGCTCTGGAGCCTAGAAATGCTACAGATGGGACTCCCACTGCCACCTGCCAGGCTTGGACATGATGACCACATGAGCAGGTGGGAGGTAAGGGCTCTTATTTCTTTGCTCCTGAGGCTGGGGACAGTGCCCAGATAGCTGGAACTGAAAATGAAGTGTTCCAGCACTCCAGGCAGGGCAGCAGCTGCACAAGGAGGCATGGGTAACAAGCAGCAGACGCCATGGAGCACAGCAGGCAAGATCTGGGCTCATTGACTTGGCCACTTCAAGTATCAGTGTCTTGTGAGGTTCCCTGTGGCACAGAAAGAGGATAAAGCAGCTGTTAGACAGTCAGGTTTATGTTGTGTCTTTAGCATATCCCTAGAACCTGGCATCTATTTCATAAACCTTCCATGGGAGACACGAACACCTATTCACTGTGATAGGGCACCAATTTCAGATCAAAGAAACAACAGTCCCACACAAACTCCAGTTGGTAAGCCAGTGAATGCATTGGGCTTATATGGGAGCATGGGTGATCCCACGCTGCAAAGTCTCACCTAGCACAGACGATGATTTTCCCATGGCTGCAAGGAAAGGAGTCCTCCACCCTCTCTGTACTCAAGTTCCAGACAGCTACAGCTAGGACAGAACTGCATACAGCTGGGAAGGAAGTGTAGAAGGAGTGGTGAAAGCTCAGGCGAGGGTCTAATGACCCTCCCCATCCCTTCCTTCTAGATGGAAACACTGACAGACCCTTATTTTAGCATCTTTTGCAGGTAATTGGAGGGTTGTGATGC